TCTGACTCCAGCATCGGCAGTTCTTACTATCTCTCTTGACTTCTGCCTCTACTTTTGCACATAAGGCAAATGGCACCGAGTGGGCCTCACAGAATCGTGGAATTACTTCTTAGTCAACATGCAAGGTGGCCTTGGCTCCTTTGAAAGCCCCTAAACCTTCCTGAAAAACTACCAGATATTTAATTAGGACTTCACTCAGGCAGCCATTTTCTAACTGAAAAACGTTGAGCCATTCAAAGTGAATCATAGAACTTGGAACATAGAACAGTACAGCATAGTACAGGCCCTTCAGCCCATGATGTTGTGCTGACCTATTATCCTACTCTAAGATCAAACTAACCTGCATACCCTTCATTTTTCTGTCATCCAAGAGTCACTTAAATGTCCCTAATGTATCTGACTCCACTACTACTGCTGGCAGCGTATTTCACACGCCCACCACTCTCTGTGTAAAGAACCTATCTCTGACATCTCCCCGATACCTTTCTCCAATCACCTTAAAATTATGCCCCCTCGTGATAGTCATTTCCGCGCTGAGAAAAAGTGTCTGACTATCTAGTCTTATCTAATCCTCTCATCATCTTGTACACCTCTATCAAGTCACCTCTCATCCTTCTTCACTCTAATGAAAAAAGCCCAACTCCCTCAACCTTTCCTCATTAGACCTGCCCTCCACTCCAGGCAGCATCCTGGTAAATCTCCTCTGCACCCTCTCTAAAGCTGCTACATCTTTCCTGTAATGAGGTGACCAGAACTGAACACAATATTCCAAGTGTGGTCTAACCAGAGTTTTATAGAGTTATAGCATAACCTCGTGGCTCTTAAACTCAATTCACCTGCCAATGAAAGCCAAAACACCATATGCCTTCTTTACAACCCTATCAACTTGGGTAGCAACTTTGAGGGATCTATGGACGTGGACCCCAAGGTCCCTCTGTTCCTCCACACTGCCAAAAATCCTGCCCTGTATTCTGCAATCAATTCGAGCTTCCAAAATGAATCATGTCACATTTTTCTGGGTTGAATTCCATCTGCCATTTCTTTGCCCAGCTTTGCATCTGTCAATGTCCTGTCGCAACTTACAACAGCTCTCCATGCTGTCCACAACTCCACCAACCTACGTGTCATCGGCAAACTTACTAACCCACCCTTCCACTTCCTCATCCAAGTCATTTATAAAGATCAGAGGTCCCAGAACAGATCCCTGCGGAACACCACTAGTCACCGAGATCCAGGCTGGATACTTTCCATCCATCACCTGCCTACTTGCAGATGGGAATCACGACGAAATCTCAGCTACCGCTGATGGTAGTGACACACAGGGGAGTGTTCTGCTATAAACAGCTTCCTTTTGGCATCTTGTTAGTGCCGGCTGTATTCAAGAAGGCCATGGACCAGATTTAGAGTGGTTTGTCCAGTGTTCAGTGTTATCTGGATGATATTTTAGTTACTGGATCCCCCAAAAAGGATCATTTGCAAAGCCTAGAAGAAACCGTAAAAAGGTTGCAGGAACTTGGCCTACAAATTAATTTTGGAGAAATGTGAGCTTTTAAAAGACTCCCTGGAGTGCCTGGACAATGAAATCCATGGCGAGGGACTAAACAAGGTGCCCAAGAAGATGAAGGTTATCATGAAGGCCCTCAGACCAGTGGAAGTGTCTCAACTGAGATCATTTTTGAGACTTGTATATTACTACGGCAATTCCTGCCTGATCTGGCAACCATGCTAAAACAACCATGCATCATTTGCTGGGAAAAGGGTGGCCATGGAAATGGGCCCAGGAATATGAGGATGCTTACCTGGAGGTGAAGCAAGCTCTAGAAAGGTCAGAAGCGTTGACTCATTTGAACCTGAATTTGCCACCGCAGTTGGTGTGCGACGCCTCGCCTTATGGAGCGACAATGGTCTGCAGTTTGTGACACAAGAGTTCGAGGAGGACCTGAAAAATCACGGAGACAGATGTGTGAGATCAGCTCTGTGTCACCCTGTGAAAATGGTCAAACAGAGAGATTTGTACAAACTTGGAAGCAGGCCTTAAAGACCTTTCAAAGGGAGGGTTCAGGGGGACGATGACTCAAATAGTTCCTCAACATGTACAGGAGCATGCCACAGGTGACGACCTAGTGCTTGCCAGTGTCCTTAATGTTCAACCGCCAGCTAAGAACCATGTTTGACTTACTGCAGCCAGAGTTGGTACAGCAAAATCAAGAAGGACAGATCGTCAAAAGGGCAGGAAACTCACAGTGAAGAGTATTCTGAAGAGGAAAGACCACATTGGCCCGGAATGATACATCCGGAGAAAAATGGATTGGTGGTGGCTCAAAAAAAGACCATTGTCATATATGGTGCAGACTACGGATGAACTGGCCTGGAGGAGACACATGGACCAATTGGTCACCAGACCTCGCCAACCTCAGAATACCAAGCCGGTCCAGCCCCAGGACCAGCGGTGTTGACTGAGTCATGTGTCTCTGAGCCGGGCATGGCCATACCCAGGGAGAAGCCAACAGGACAACAATGGCCAATCAGAGGGATGTAGTTGTGGAAGAACAGGAGCTCCAGAAGCCCCAGAGACTACATTTGAAAAGATTCCTAAGACAAGATAGTCTTCTAGGAATTGCTGCCCCCCCCACCCAAAAGGGACTAATGATGTCAGGCTACAGGAAGTTAGTTATCTTTTTCCATGTTTTTTTTACAGATTCCTGGCAATGTATGTATGTTAGATACGATTCCTGTATAATGGTTAAGTGATGGATGTATATACTCTGCAAAGGAGAATATTGAAGTAAAGGGTGTTATGTGTGTAGTTGGGTCTGTGCGCCTTTTAAGAGATGGGTCAGGTGACCTAGAAGCAGGAGCAAGATGAGGCAGTCAAAATCCTACTCTGGAGCTGATAGTATCCACAATACAGTGTGTCCTTTTTATACTTCAAGTTTATCCTTTTTATACTTCGTGTTCCTAGTTATGGTTCTAGCGAACCACAAACATAATAGAACTGACTGTTTAAAAGGGTGGTAAGAGGCGGGAACCATCATATATTTAAGAAACATTCAGACGAGCACTTGAAATTCTATAGCGTACAAGGTTACGGGGCAAGTGCTGGGAATTAGCGTAATCATAGATATAAGGACGAGCGAAAGCACAATGGACCAAAAGGCCATTTTCTGTCCTGTAAAAGCTGTTACTTCCTCAGATTGTATGCCAGAAAAGTGAGTTGAGGATTGTCAGATTAGCTACGATCTGATTGAATAAAGCAGCCTCAGTGGGCTGAATAACCGACTTGTGCTCCTCCGTCTGAAGGGTTTATGCTCCCAAGCGGGCAGGGGGGGGGAGGTGTTCTCAGACGCTGAGTTTCACCAGAATTTTCTTTGCTTATGATGTGGAGATGCCGGTGTTGTGCTGGATGGACAAGGTAAATAAAAATCACACACGGCCAGCCCAGCCGCTCCCCACGCGTATTCCCTATTGGTCGAGGTTGCTGTCAATCAGGCGGACCGCATCGTGAGTGAACAAAACGAAATATCACGCGACACCGGAGCTTTTTGTCCGAAGTTTGCGTTTTCCAATAAATCCGCTGTACTGGCAACCTGGTGTCGTGTGATTTTTTGCTTTGTTCGCTCACAACGCGGCCCGCTCGATTGACGGCAACCTCGACCGATAGGAAGAAAGTGGGGCGGGGCTGCCCCTACATTCCAATGGGAGCGCCCCAAGGGGCGGGGCGGCACGTGACCGAAGACACCGAGACTGCGGCCGGTGGAGCGGAAGGTAAAGGAGGAGAAATTGAATCCCTAACAGCGGAGAGCGGGAGACAAGTGGAGGTGGTGTGGACTGGGAGGTTTTATTAGCGCACGGTGTAGACTGCCAGACCAGAGTTAGAAACTTCTGGTCCTGTGTTCGCAGCAAAACGGCGACCGGCTTCGGACTTGACAGGCCGCTGGTACTGTCGCCATTTTTATTGGAGGCAATATGCCCTGGGAGCCTTCGGGCGTCGCTGTTCTTATAGGGGGCAGTGTACAGCAGGGCGCATGTGCGCTCTTTCTTTGGCCCCATGAGTCGGAAGGAAAGGAGTTATACAGAGCCAATTCAAACTACTGTCCTCCAGTGGCAGCGATGGATTTTGGAAACCCTATGAAAGGTTGGAAAGTGTTGAGTCAAAGGACGAACTGCTGCTCCTCAACCTCCCCTTGAAACAGTGCAGGTGGCTGAGGTCAGAGTGGGAATGAGCGGAGAATTGAAATGACAAGTGACTCCAATCCCAGTGTACAGCAGATTCCATTGCGAGCAGTGAATACATGTACCTACATTGCAAGAAGTACAAATAATTCACTGTTCAGTTTCAATAGTCAAAACCTTGACAGCAGCCTGAACATGGGTACTTTATTTGAAGAGTAAGTGATACAAAGTAAAATAAAACCATTTCCAAGATATGAAATTCTATCCCTGTTGTAGGATTTTTTTTAAGTATCAGCAGAAGTAAATGCTGACTGTCACAGTGAACATAATCAACTAAACTTGTTCCTGCATATTGAACTATGTTTCCAGTGTGAACTCCATAGTGGGTGTTTGGAGGTGACGTGTTTCCCATGCACTAACTGCTCTTGTGCAATGTTTTTGGGCTTATGGGTTTGGGAGATTCTGTTGAACATCTGGCTGAGTTGCAGTTGGATAAAGCCAGCTTCTTTCTTCCTCTTCCTTTCTTTCTCGCCCTCTTTTTCCCTTTCTGCATAAAGGTTCAAGTCTCGTGTAGGTACAGACCAGATGGTGGGCTCCCTTCTTTTGATGGACATTAGTGAATTAGTCTGAAGTATGTTTGTGACCTATCAGTTTTCGCTTTCACTTTTTGCTATGTTACATTTGTTTTACAGGGCATTGAGAAGGGATGTTTCTCAGGAACAAATCTCAAACCAAACATTGTGCCAAGACCTCTCTGAGTAGCTTGATTCATCAGGACCTGAATATCATTGGATTTTGAACATGGAAGGAAGAATTACCATTACCAGTGGGGAGAACCCATACATATGTTCTGTGGGTGGACTAGGATTCAGTCAGTCATCTAGTCTGTCAAGACATGAAGTTCATCATAGTGAGGAGAAACTGTGGCAATGTGGGGACTGTGGCAAGGGATTTAAATATCCCTCTCAGTTGGAAGCTCATCGGCGTAGTCACACAAGGGAAAGACCGTTCATCTGCTCCAAATGTGGGAAGGGATTCATTCAGTTGTCCCACCTGCTGACACACCGGCGCGTTCACACTGATAAGAGGCCTTTTAAATGCTCAGACTGCGTGAAATGCTTTAAAAGCTCCAAGCAACTGATATCCCATCAACGTGTCCACACTGACAAGAAACCATACAGGTGCTCTCACTGTGGGACTGGGTTCAGGCAATCATCCGATCTCACTGTACACCAGCGAGTTCACACTGGAGAGAGGCCATTCATCTGCTCAAAGTGTGGGAAAGGATTCATTAACTCATCCCATCTACTGACACACCAGCGAGTTCACACCGAGGAGAGACCATTCACCTGCAATGAGTGTGGGAAAGGATTTACTCAGCTATCCAATTTGCTTAGACACCAGCGAGTTCACAGCGATGAGAGACCCTTTAATTGTCCACATTGTGGGAAGTGCTATAAAAGTTCTGGAGAACTGGTGCGCCATCAACGTGTCCACACTGATGAGAGACCATTCAGGTGCTCCCACTGTGGGACTGGGTTCAAGCGATCGTCTGAACTCACTGTACACCAGAGAGTTCACACTGGGGAGAGGCCGTTTTCCTGCTCAGAGTGTGGGAAGGAGTTCACTCAGTCATCCCACCTACTCCAACACCAACGAATTCACACTGGGGAGAGACCATTCACCTGTTCAAAGTGTGGGAAGGGGTTCATTAATTCTTCCAACCTGCAGAGTCACCAGCGAGTTCACAAGTAACTAAGCGTTGGGGTTTTGCTGTTTGTCACATCTTGGACTGAAGTGTATTCATGTTGTGGACAAAAGTAAAGAAAGCAGCATTCCGTTAAATAATGTGTCAAGGCTTTTTAGTATCCCTGGCACAAGTTAGTTCTTTTAAAAAGTGTGTCCTCCAGCCCCACTTCCAACAAGTGTGAAGAACTTGGAAAGGTTCCTTGCCAGGGCTTGAGACAATCCAATCAGTTGTCCCTGCCCAATTCCCTTTTTCCCCCTTCCCACATGCAAACTGAGTCTCTGAAGTTCCTCCTTGCCCAAGTCCTGAATTCCCATCTTTCTCTATTTTCCCTCCTATCTCAAGTCATATCCTGTCAGAGTTCATCATAACCAGCCTATTGCTGCTGTGACCCTATTCCCAATTAACTGCTGACCATTTAGATTTCCCATGCTAGCTAAGATAGCTGACTTTGCACAAGCAAAATACTAGTTGGTTGAGATCTGAAATAAAAACAAAGTGGTGGAGAAACTCATCGTTGTTAGCATTCTGAATCCAATATGACTCTTCTTTGGAACTGAAGAATCAGTGGACTCAGTGTTAATTCTGTTCTGTCTTCACATATGCTGCCAAGTTTCTCCACTTCCTGTTTTTGTTTCGTCTAACTCCTTCTCTTGATTGTAGTATATGAAATTCCTGAGGGGCATAGATGGGGTAAATAGGAAGAAACTTTTCTACATTAGTCGAAGGATCAATAACTGGCCCATAGATTTATGGTAAAGGGCAGATTTAAGGCAAAATTTTTGCACCCAGTGGGATGTGTGTATCTGGAACTCATTGCCTGAAAGGGTGGGAGAGGCAGAAACCTTCACAATGTTTAATTAGTATTTAGATGATCACTTGAAGTGCCATAGCACACAAAGCTGCAGACCAGGTGCTGGAAGATGGAATTAGAATAGATATAGTTTTACAGCACCAATGACTGTAAAGATGCATGTTAAAATCTGCCTCTTCAATCCAGGTAATGAAATTCCTCTGAAGCACTCTGGGATATTTCTTGTTCAATGTTTTCTCAAAATGCATGTTGTTGCAAAGCAAAATTCCACAAATCACAATCAGATAAGTGATCAGTGCAAAGATTTTTAGCTTTTTTTTTTAAACAAAAAAAAATTAGGGTCACTATTTAATCAATTCAACTTGTCTCCCAAAGTCAGAATTTCTCCAGGACTCACTGGGCATGAGGTACAACTGCAAGATAGAAGCAGGCCGGGGGAATGAATTAAAGTAGAACTTCTGAAGCAAGAATGGTGAATAAACTGAACAGAAGACTTCTTATTCTTATCCCCTGAGATTCCACAAGCTCTGTTGCTAACAGCAAAGGGAAGCCTTTGACTTTGTCCTGATTTGATATGTCTCAGGAGAATTGTCACCAGAGGAGTGATGGTGATGCTGTGCCAAAAATGTTTAGGAATCTTTTAATATTTATTGAGTCTTTGTGCCGTATTCATTCATTGTTTGTATTAACCCTGACTGTTATTCAATTAGTTGCATTTGATTTTTGAACAAGCCCAGGAAGAATTGAGGTCCTCCATTTAAACTCAATTAGAAGAAAAAACATTCTTTCACCATTGTGTATCATTCCTAAGATGTACTGCAGTTACTCACCACTTGCACCAAGACTACTTCAATGGTACCTTTTTAAAAAGACTGCTAACATCTAGAAAACAAGGTTGGCAATCAATGGGAATAGCACCATCTGCACGTTCCCTTCCAAGACACGCTCACCATCCTGACATAGAAATAGGTCACTGTTCCCTAAAAGACACTGTCCCTTCCTTACAGTGTTGTAGCTGTCCCTATGCCCCAAAACAAATGTTGCTGTTCAGGAGGCAGCTCACCACCACATTCTCTCGGACAACCAGTATGGAACACAAGTATTCAGCAGCACCACCCATATACCATAAATGAATATAGTAAACTCCGACTTTGAAATTGAACGAGAGTCCAATTATACAGCTACCTCTCACCTTCCCCACAGTAACTTGCTATTAATGGTAATGTAAGTTAACGTAATCTTTAACAGATTTATTTTTGACTCTTTGCCACTTTTATTTTTTCCAAAAGAAATACCAGGCTTTGAGAACAGTAATTCCTCTTGATCCTGAAATAAACAACGCAGGGAGGGCTCACAGGGTCAGGTAACGTTGTGGAAAAGACAAAAGCTGGCAAATGGTATTTGGACCCTTTCTGAAACCTGATCTGTTCTGAAGAAGAGTCCTTAAATGGTCGACAGATTTTTGCACAGATGATGTCATCCTACCAGACAGTTGATTTATTGATTTAACAATTCGAAACACTGAAAATAAATTGAGAAATATTGATGTTGATGGTTATGGATTCATTTCCTGCCATGAAAGCTGGAAAAATGTTTCCTGCAGATCCACTTGATTCAATTTGATTTCAGCATTGAATATTTATACTGGTGCCATTACTTTATTCTACAATATTGGAAGCTCCAATTTGTTTAAAATAAAAATTCTCCATTTTAGTTTGTTTCAGTTTATATTCTATGAATTTTTAATCCAATTAATTTCTTTTAGCATAATCACTGTGTCATAACAACTCAGCCACATGAGAATGATCTGAGAAAAGGATGAATAAAAACGGCATGAATAAAGAAGTTGAAATAAATGGAGGTTCAGATTGCAATTCAATGAAGCAAAAATGGGTGAACCGTGAAAAGAGGGATAAGTAACATGCAAGAGTATGGAAAAGGGTTAAGGCAGTGAGAGTTGTTAAGCGATCAAAAATAGGCGAAGCCCAGGATTTTGTTCCCTGGCCCTGGTTCAGCCAGAATTCCATCCAACCTTGCCACCATTCTTTTATAGAGTAATACAGCATGGAAACAGGCTCTTCAGCCCAAACTGATCCATGCCTAGTATGGTGCCCACTCAGCTAATTCCAATCATCTACATTTGGTCCATTTCCCTTTAAACCATTCCCATCCATGTACCTATTTTTTACATATTGCTATTGAACCTGCCTCAACCACTTTCTCTGGCAGCCCATCCCACATATGCACCACTCTAAGTGAAGAACTTGTCCCTCGGGTCCTTCTTAAACCTTTCCATTCTCACCTTAAACCTATGCCATCTAGTTTTCAATTCCCCATCCCTGGAAAAAAGACTAGATGCATTCATCCTATTTATGCCCCTCATGATTTTATCACCCCTTATTCTCCTATGTTCCAAGAAATAAAGTCTTATCCTGGTCAATGGCTCCCTATAACTTAGGCCTACTAGTCCTAGCAACGTCCTTGTAAAGTTTCTTTGCACACTTTCCAGTTTTACTATGTTTTTCCTATAACAGGGTGACCAAAACTGTGTACAATACTCCAAGTGCGGCCTCACCAATGTACCATAATGTCCCAACTCCTATACTTGATGCCTTAACCGATGAAGGCCAGCATGCTAAATGCCTTCTTCGCCACCTTATCTACCTGTGACACTGCTTTCAACAAACTATGTACTTGTACTCCTAGGTCCTTCTGTTCCACAACACTCCTCAGAACCTTACCATTTACTGTACAAGTCCTACCTTGGTTTGACTTTCCAAAGTGCAACACCTCACACTTGTATATATTGAACTGCATTTGCCGATCATCAGCCCACATCCCCATCTGATCAAGATCCCTCTGTAATTTTTGAATACCTTCCTTGCTTTCAATGATACCTCCTAATTTTGTATCATCCGCAAACTTAGTAATCATGCCTTGAACATTCACATCTCTGGAGCTCGTGCAACCTAACCTTCCTGACTAGACTGCCGTGCAGAACCTTGTCAAAGGCCTTACTAAAGTCCATATAGACCGTATCCACTTCCCTACCCTCATCTATCCTCTTGGTTACTTCTTTGAAAAACTCTGAAAGATTTATTAGACATGACTTCCCGCACACAAATCCATGCTGACTATCCCTAATCAGACCACGACTATCCAAATGTTGGTTGATCCTGTGCCTCAGTGTCCTCTCCAGTACCTTGCCTATTACTGATGTCAGGCTTGCTGGCCTGTAGTTCCTTGTCTCGTTGCTGCCTTACTTAAAAAATGGAACAACATTGGCCACCCTCCAGACTTCTGGAACTTCACCAGTGGCTAAATATGAAGCAAAAATCTCTGCAAGGGCCTCTACAATTTCTCCCCTAGACTCCCACAAAATCCAAGGGTGGAAATGATCAGGTCCAGGGGATTTATTCAACTTAATGCGCTTTAAGGCTGCAAACACCTCCTCTCTGGTAATATGTATGCGGTCCAAAACATCCTCACTTATTTCCGTTATTTCCTTAGCATCCGTGATTGTCTCCACAGTAAACACCGAAGGGAAACAATCATTAAAAGATTTCCCCCATCTCCTGTGGCTTCATATAGATGGCCATGCTGATCTTTAAGGGGACCTATTCTCTCCCTCGTCATCCTCTTAATATAGATATAGAACTTCTTGGGATTATCTTTAACCTTATCTGCCAATTCCATCTCATGCCCTCTTTTTGCCCTTCTGATTTCCCTCTTAAGTGTGCTCTTACACTTTTTATAGTCATTTAGGGATTCACTTGTGTCCAATAGCTTAAACACAATGTATGCCTTCTTTTTCTTGACCGGAGCCTCAATATCCTTTGTCAGTCAGGAATCCCTAAACCTGCCAGCTTTTCCCTTCACTCTTACAGGGACATGCTGTCCCTGGACTCTTGATATCACTTTTAAAAGCCTCCCATTTTCCAGTCATTCCTTTGCCTTCAAACAGACTTACCCAATCGACCTCTGCTAGATTCTGCCTAATGGCCCCAAAATTGGCCCTGCTCCAGTTCAGCACCTTAACCTGTGGACCTGTCCTATCACTGCTGAGCAGTCAATGGCTTTTCAAGCTCAAGTGATGGGAATTCCTTGTCCAACTCAATCCTGAAACAAAATTGTGAGAGAGTGTCAAACAGAGATTGGCAGATCTGGAACAAAAACAGATTTTGCTAGAGAAACTCAGCAGGTCTGGCAGCATCTGTGGAGACAAAAACAGAGTTAACGTCTTAAGTCCATTGACCCTTTCTCAGGAGATTGGGAGGTCTCTATTTCACAGGAGTACAACTCAGCCACGTGTGAGCCAGCAGAACATTTGTTGGTGACTCCTTCACTATCTCCCAATTTTAACGGGGCAATTTTGGGCCAGGTAGGACCAAAAGCCCTCTTTGATCCCAGCAATCATAACATGTAGACACCACTGTTGCAGAGAGTTTGGATTTCTTAACTCGGCTGATCAGTGTTTATATCCCTGTCTTTTATACAATGTCGTGACTACTTTCAAGCAGTACACAATGTTCTAGCTGTTCAATTTCAATTGAGCATTAGTCAGCTTTGCTTTTTGCATCAATCACAGACATCACCTCCACTGTGTAAGTCTCAAATTCAGTCTTTGTTGTGGGTTCTGTCTTCACCAAATATTGCTGCTGGTGTTATAATGATTGATCTCAGCAACATCCAAATATCAAGTCCTGAAGAACGACTCCGATGCGAAACATTGTCTTTCCTTCTCCTCGGATGCTGTCTGAACTGTTGTGCTTTTCCAGCTCCACATTTTTGACTGCAAATATCAATATTGGTTTATGAAGCTTTTATTCATCTGCCTGTAAAATAGTTTAATATTTTCTGTTCTTTGATTATTTAATTTCACAGTGGAGATGCTGCTGTGAAGCACTTTCTAATTGGAGATGCAAGTCAATTTCAAACACTGAATTGTATATTTTGAACTCAAGATCACTTCCAGATTGAAATAAACGTGCATTGTTTTGTTGTAATCAAGTTCTTCTTGAGAGTTCTTGAATCTAGAGGAAAGATGACAGATAGCACTTTTAAAAAAAAAAGAGAACATCGTGACTTATCCAGAATGTTAAATTCCGTACAGTTATAGGATTGTAACATCAACAGAAACAATATGTCTTCAGACTGTTCCTGGATGTGATTAACAGCAGTAATAACAATGGCATCCAAACTCTGCAGTCACTCAGGAACTCACCAGTGCCACAGCTTTCATGAATCAGTTATTCCACCCCACCATGAACTCGCTGGTGAGTCAACAAGTTAGATGAAGTACTGAATTCCTTCCCACAAGTGGAGCAAGTGAATGGTTTCTCCCCAGTGTGAACTCTCTGGTGTGTCAACAAATTGGATGATTGAACAAATCCCTTCCCACAATCAGAGCAGGTGAATGGTTTCTCCTCAGAATGAACTTGCTGGTGTGTCAGCAGGCTGGACAACTGAGTGAATCCCTTCCCACACTCTGAGCAGAGGAATGGCCTATCCCCAGTATGAACTCGCTGGTGTATCAGCAGGGTGGATGACTGAATGAATCCCTTCCCACAGTCAAAACAGGTAAATGGTCTCTCCCCACTGTGAACTCGCTGGTGAGTCAGCAGGTTGGAAGAAGTAATGAATCTCTTCCCACAAGTGGAGCAGGTGAATGGCCTCTCTCCGGTATGAACTCGCTGGTGCGTCAACAAGTTGGTTGACTGGGTGAATCTCTTCCCACATTGCGAGCAGGTAAATGGTTTCTCCTCAGTGTGAAGTCGCTGGTGTGTCAACAAGCTAGATAACTGAGTGAATCCTTTCCCACATATGGAGCAAGTGAATGGTTTCTCTCCACTGTGAACTCGCTGGTGTGCAGTGAGGTTGGATGAATTCCTGAACCTCTTTCCACAGAACAAGCAACTGAATGGTCTTTCTCCTGTATGAATTCGCTGATGTGCCATGAAGCTGGTTGATTGAGTGAATCCCTTCCCACATTCAGAGCAGGTGAATGGCCTTTCCCCAGTGTGAACTCGCTGATGTTTCAGCAGGTTAGATGACTGAGTGAATCCCTTCCCACACTCAGAGCAGGTGAATGGCCTCTCTCCAGTGTGACTACGTTGATGAATTTCCAGCTGGGATGGAGATCTGAATTCCTTTTCACAGTTCCCACATTTCCATAGTTTCTCCATGTTGTGAGTGTCTCTGCAGGTCAGTTGAATACTCAACACACAGATCACGTAAATGGTTTCTCTGTGAATGATATCATTTTTTTCCCATCTGAATAACTCGTTAAAGCTTTGTCCATAGTCAGAACACTGTCTCTCAGTATGTGTAACCAGTCAGAGTTGTTTCTTTGTACATCTAGATGCTTTTTCAATCACACTGATGTGTGAAATATTTCCCCCTGAACAGATGTTTCCTGTTCCACGTTCAGAAGCCAATGATATTCAGATTCTGATGAATGGAGTAACTCTGTCAGAACTTGGCATCATGTTTCATTTGAGTTTCCTGGTTTAAACCTCCTCTTTTATTCACCTGTACCAGGAAATTTAAAAAAAAAACTCACTGTCAGTTTCTATGGAACATATTCCTCTATTGTTCCCCCAAAGCTGTAGATCCTCATCACACACACTCTCCCCCGGGCTAATTCTGTCCCTTTCAACAATTTGGTCCAACTGGAGACTGTGCTCCAAGCCGCACTGCGCATGCACGGGCTGACGATGGGGCCAACTGATTGACGGCAGGTCCGGGACAACTGCACGAGAGGAGCGGGACCGCAGAATAGATCGGGGCTCGGCTAGTCCTTCGATCAACGGAAAGCATGAGCAGCGAGACTGGAGGCCAGCGGCTGGTCCTCCAAGCAATCGGAAAGGCTTTGAGGGCTGGGCTGACCTTGGTGCACGTATCCCGCTGCTGTTAACTCGCGGAAAAAGCCCCGAGCGGATACTATCGATTTAATCTTTCTACAGCGAAAGTTTCCATCCGATCTTCGACGTGCTCCTGAAGCTACGCAACCCCGTCGCTTGCTCTCCCGCTCCTCTGAGAGGACCTCACCCTGGGGTCGGAAGTTAACGCTACTGAGTTGAGTCCGGCCAAAGCTCAACTACTGTGTGTGTATCAGCAACTGGGTCTTGATGATTGACGGCCTGTTTGGTCCAATAGAAAGGGAGCGACGTGTCCGGATGACTGATGGTGCGCATTGGTCCTCCAACCAATGAGAGTGAATGATGGGTGGGACTAGAGAACGGGTGCGTGCTTCCACCAATGAGTGAATAAGGGGCGGGGCGGATCGCTTGCCGCGGAGTGGGACACGGTCCAAGTTCTTCTCAGGAGCAAAGTGGGGATTTGGAGAATAGCATATCCTCTTCCTTGCAGAAATACAATGAAAATTGGATGAAGGAGTGGAAGGGTGGATTAGCAAGTTCGCGGACGATACGAAGGTGGGTCACGTTGTGAACAGTGCGGAGGGCTGTTCTAGCTTACAAAGGGACATTGATAGAATGCAGAGCTGGGCTGAGAAGTGGCAGAAGGAGTTTAACCCTGAAAAGTGTGAGGTGAGGTAATAGAGGGATTGAGTTCAAGAGCCGTGAAGTTATGCTCCAGCTATACAAAAGCCTGGTTCGGCCACATCTGAAGTATTGTGTCCAGTTCTGGTCACCTCATTACAGGAAATATGTGGAAGTGTTAGAAAAGGTGCAGAGGAGATTTACCAGGATGTTGCCTGGAATGGAGGGAAGCTCTTACGAGGAAAGGTTGAGAGAACTAGGGCTTTTCTTTTTAGAACGACGAAGGATGAGAGGTGACTTGGTAGAGGTGTACAAAATGATCAGAGGTATATAGAGTAGACAGCCAGAGACTTTTTCCTAGGGTGGAGGTAGCTTTTACGAGGGGACATAGGTTTAAAGTGAAAGGAGGTAGATATCAGGTAGACGTCTGAGGTAGGTTCTTTACTCAAAGAGTGGTAGGGGTGTGGAATGCATTGCCGGAGAGGGTAGTGGAGTCGGCCTCGTTAGGGGCATTTAAGCGGCTATTAGATAGGCATATGGATGATAGTATAAAGTAGCGGTGGAGGTTAGATAGACCTTAGGTTTAGGGTAAAAGTTCGGCACAACATTGTGGGCCGAAGGGCCTGTACTGTTCTATGTTCTATGAAAAGCTTTTACAGCGTCTGCCTCCTCTGATATCTTAAAATACAAGTACCTCAGTACAAATCTTGGATACAAAACAGGAATAAAACAGTAGTTGCATTACTTTACACAGTTCAAAACATAAGTTAGAAATAAGAGACAACAAGGTGCAGGGCTGGATGAACACAGCAGGCCATGAGGCATTGTTAAAGGATTGTCTTTACAGCCAGGTTTAAAAAAAAATCAATAAACATTACTTTGTAGCATAGAGATAACAAGGTGTAGAGCTGGATGAACACAGCAGGCCAAGCAGCATCAGAGGAGCAGGAAAGCTGACGTTTCGGGCCTAGACCCTTCTTCAGAAATGGGGGAGGGGAAGGGGGTTCTGAAATAAATAGGGAGAGAGGGGGAGTTGGATAGAAGATGGATAAAGGAGTAGATAGGTGGAGACGGGACAGACAGGTCAAAGAGGCGGGGATGGAGCCAGTAGAGTGTAGGTGGGGAGTTAGGGAGTTAGGGAGGGGATAGGTCAGTCCAGGGAGGATGGACAGGTCAAGGGGGCAGGAGGCTAGTAGGTAGGCGATGGGGGTTGGGCTTGGGGTGGGAGGAGGGGATAGGTCGGAGGAAGGACAGGTTAGGGAGGCGGGGACAAGCTGGGCTGGTTTTGGGATGTGTTTGGGGGAGGGGAGATTTTGAAGCTTGTGAAGTCCACATTGATACCATTGGGCTGCAGGGTTCCCAAGCGAAATATGAGGTGCTGTTCCTGCAACCTTCGGGTGGCATCGTTATGGCACTGCAGGAGGCCCAGGATGGACATGCCGTCTGAGGAATGGGAGGGGAAGTTGAAATGGTTCACAACTAGGAGGTGCAGTTGTTTAGTGAGAACCAAACGTAGGTGTTCCGCAAAGTGGTCCCCAAGCCGCCGCTTGGTTTCCTCGATGTAGAGGAGGCCACAACGGGAACAGCGGATACAGTATACCACATTAGCAGATGTGCAGGTGAACATCTGCTTGATGTGGAAAGTCTTCTTGGGTAGCAGTTCAGTGCAGGGCCTCCGAGGAGGCGATGGCCTAGTGGTATTATTATTGGACTGTTAATCCAGAGACCCAGATAACGTTCTGGGGACGCGGGTTCAAATCCTGCCACGGCAGATGGTGGAATTTGAATTGAATAAATACCTGGAATTAAGAATCTAATGATGACTGTGAATCCATTGTCAATTGTTGGGAAAACCCATCTGGTTCACTAATGTCCTTTAGGGAAGGATGTGACTGTAGACCCACAGCACTGTGGTTGACTCAACTGCCCTCTGGGTAATTAGGAGTGGGCAATAAATGCTGCCTGGCCAGCTACACCCTCCTACTGTGAATGAGTAAAGATGAATAAAGACTCTGACCGTGGTCTGACTGTCTGCGCTAGACTTTTGTCCAACAGCCATCCCTGTCCCAATCTGCTCCATGCTGGCACTCAGCTGTTCCAAGTTAAGTGCCAGGACTGCTTCCCCTGTGCCAGTCTCTGCCCAGGACTCGCTGTCTGCACGCTGCTCCGGGACTCACTCCCCATGCGTTGCTCCAGGAGCTCTAAGCCTGCATCTGCCGCTGCTCGAACAGTCACCGCTGGGGCTAAGGGGAGAGAAAAAGGAAAAAAGAGAGGGATAAAAAAGAAAGAAGAACAGCTGGAGCAGAGGACCTCCAGCAGGAGCAGCTGAGTCTGCCACCATTTTGTCTCAGCTTGTGTGAAAGGATGCTCCTCAGAAATTAGATTCATCTGCTTTAATTTCTGTCATGCAGTTAGAGTGAAGAGTATTTTTTTTCTATGAGGAGTGACATGGGAAACTGGATTCATTTAAACTGCATCAAAGTAATTATGTAAAATATTTGTCTTTCGGGACCTGTAACCAAGAGAAGCGAATAGGTTTATCTCATCGTTATAGACATAATTAACTCCTGTCAGAATCAAATGATCACCACTCCAATATAACAGACATAAAAACAGAGTAAACCCATCAGCTGGTCCCTGGGATGAGGGCTGGGAGAGCTTGGGACGATTACATCTCTCACTCAGTAAGGCAAAAATTGATCCCCTCTCTCTCCCCATTAATCCTGGACAGTATATGGCATGAATTTTTCCTGTTTCCATTCATGTCTGAAAGTTCTAGTCTGTATCTAGGCTGTGTTGTACCTAACTGGGAGTGTTCAATGTGGACAGTGTAGGGAAGCTTTATTGTGTATCTAATTTGTGAACCATCTCCCTGGAACAGTGTGATGGGGTTAATGTGAAAGGAAATCAAGGGACAGACTCGATTATCCAAATAGCTCAATTCTGCTCCTGTATCTTATGGTCTTATGCAGAAGGTTTGTGAATGTCCTAAATATTTCTGCACTGTGTATTTAATATTTCACTCCGGGTGTAGATATAACAGTGTTGGTTTGAATTTACTGACTCACCAATTGTTGGAAATACTATTTCTTTATTTTCCTGATGAAATTTTCAACCTCTGCCTCAGATTTCAGTCTTAACTCTAATGAAAGAAGAGCAAGATTTTCTCTACTCAGTCCTGATGACTAAAGCCTCTCTTCCCTGCGATCCTCTTGGTGAATCTCTGCTGCATCCGTTTGGTGGCCCTTTACACCTTCTGGGTGAAAAAAATCTCCTTTAGACCACTTAATCTTCACCTTAGACATGTGCCTTCAAGTCTTAGACACGTCTGTCATGGGGAAAAGACTCTCATAATCTACCCTGCCTATGCCTCTCATAATTTTGTTTACCTCAATCGGATTCCCTTCAGCCTCCTCTGCTCCAAGGAAAACAAACCTATCCAGTCTCTCTTTATAATTTTTCATAACAAGTAACATCTTGGTGAATTTCTTTTTGCACCCTCTCAGAGAATCCCTACACAGCAGAAGGATGCCATTCCACCCATCAAGTCTGCAACAACCCTCCAGAGAGCATCCCACTGGATCTACGCCACCCCCACTGCTCCCTCACCATGAAATGGTGCATTTTATCATGGCAGCCGTCATCTCCAGTGAAATCATATCTTTCAGCTAGTGTGGCAACACACAGTATTCCATC